TTTCTTCCCTCTTCCCTTCCTTTAATTTTCCTTTGCTTGCTTCTTTGTTTTGGTGAAAGAATTTGGGGATTCCTGGAAAAAGGCTACAAATATTCCCATAGCTGTAGCCATTGCCTGTCTTTCTGCCCTGGCCGCCCTCACTTCTTTGAGAGAAGGTAGCCCAGACTCAGATTTTCCCATACTATTTTATCTGATTTTGCATATGCTTGAGATATTCCATAATAAACACTTTGATTTGAAATTTTAAAAAATTGTCAGGAAGGAAAGCAAGAAGAGATACATATGTGGGTAAATAAGTAATGTAGGAGTGAAACAGTCAAATTTGTATTTATTGGGGACATCCACAGGAAAATTAAATAAAATTCATGCTGCACTCAACACAAAGGAAAGTTTTGTTCAATGAATAACAAGAAAGAAAATGGTTGAGGTGTTTTAATGGAGCCAAACACCAAGGGACATTGTATATGATTGTATGTGCTGTCACCAGAAATATCAGTGAACCTACATAATCATTATTTGTTAACAGGAAAATTGAAGGACCTCTGTCTTCCCTCTTAGTCTTATTAATAAAGGGGTCTTAAAATAAAAAGAAACTAAAGAACAATATTAATAGGATGTGAGAGAAAAGGACAAAGACGGCCAACTGAAAACCTGGGCAACAACAATGGGTTCAACATGGTGGAGAGCGGCCTGAAAAAGGAAGAGAAAGCCTGTTAAGTTATGCCTCGAAGGTCACTCAAAATGGGCAGCAACAAGGAGCCACATTTAACAAACAGCTGCATGGAAGAGATAGAACATCTCAGAGGATGCTTTGGCCAGCATCCTAAAGAGAAAATGAAAACACAGAGAAGCTAAGATCTTCTGATTTAGAACTTAGAAAAGCCAGAGAGCAGCACAGACCGCCTGGATGTAGCTCCACAGCTGACCACACAGAGTGGAGTTCCGGGAAGGAAAACACATGACCTCAGTAAAGACATATTTTCTCCTGCCACCTGTTAGCATGGCTTCAGGTGGATCAGCCATCCTGAGGGGTGGTCCTTTAGTCAGGCAGGTGACAGGCCCAACAGGACTAACTTTTATGATAGCATGTGTCATGTCTGCACAGGAAAAGAAGCAGATTCCATTCTTTTGACAAGAAAAAAGAGGACTCAACAGAGCATTGAGAGGCTACTGTAACACTTGCTGTTCAAGCCACTCAGAAGTCATTTACTTATAAGCTAAAAGTGAGGAACGGATACAATGTGTTTCTGCCATGAAAATCTAGGGGTCCCTTTCTAAAGCTGTTCAGCAGACATGCTTAGTGCTGTTCCACCCTCACACAGAGAACCCAGGAAGGAAGCTCACATTCCAGATAAGAAACCTTTCTGGCATCTCTGAGCTCTGGCCAGGACAGAACAAAAGATGTTTCCGGTTTCTATAACTGGAACTGCTCACCCTTGCTCCTCTGTTTCTAACTCTGCTCCACCCATTTCTGTCTCCTGCCCGCCTCCGCTTAAGCATCCAGTCCTCTCTCCACTTTCCCTTAGTGTCCCCTGAGTCTCCCTGTTACATTGGAGTTTGTGAAAATGAACAAAATGCGGTGGTAGAGGTCAGCTGGTGCTTTTTAAAATGTAATTTAGACACAGACCCCAGCTGAGAACCCTGTGGCAAACTCCAGGCAAACCTGGCTTGTACTTTGGGAACCTGTCGAAGCTTGCAACCCTCAGCCATGCAGGCTTACAAATACAAACCCTGGCCTTTGTGATGGAAAACTGCACCTACTTCCCCGTGTCCTCTTCGGTAGTCTCTTTGAGGAGACAGCTCTTTTCCGTCTCTCTTTCTCTGTCTCTGCTTCTCTACCTCTTTCTCTGAGAAGCCTTCCACCAACAAACTCTTCATAGAAGTCACGCCAGCAGGTCTCTGTCTCCCACCCACTCCATCCCTCACCTGCCTCGGGACTGCGGTGGGACCTGCCAGGGTCCCATCACCTGCTGTATGCCTAACACCCATGCCCTTGTGCAGACGCTCCTTTCCTCTGTGCCCAGCCTCTGACACCCTTGATTTCTGCTTTTACACACTTGCTTTTCAAGAATACCATGTAGCTATATCTCTGAGTACTAAAGGCATTTGAGATTCATCCACAGCACATTTAACAACTGTGTGGCTACAATAGGAGACATTCCAGAGCATGGCTGGTAATAGACATGAGGAGTAACTTCAGAGTATGCATCTCAGACCCTAATAGAAAAACAGTTTTAGAAACAGAGCAGGAGACACAACAGGAAACTGGTGGACAACAGAGTGAGCAGGGAGAGAGCAGGTGGGCAGCAATTGGCATTTCCCAGCAGAAAAGCATCGCTCTGTGGTCAGATCCTCAACTAAATTGTAAGGGGGCTGGGTGGTCTTTGATGTTGCTGTGGTTTTGGTGAGATAACTGAGGGTATGTGGTGGTCTCACACATGCCATGGTTCACATTTAGAAATGAAAGGACATCTTTGAGTCGTTCGTTCTGGGCTCCATTCTTGTGTAGGTTCCAGGGATTGAAGTCAGGTCACCAGGATTCAACAGCAATCTTGCTGCCCCAAGGACAACGGAGACAGCAGAACAATGCTCTAAAGATAACTTGGTCCTAGTTTAGGAAACTCTGTAGGTGGCAGGCTGAGGATCAAGGAAATGGGCATGATCTCATTTGTGCATATGATGTGAACACAGTTGTTTCCCACGGTGAAGGCTGACACTTCAGCCTATGCACAACTGAATCCAAATGGTTCATAGACACAGACATGAAGCCTATAGATTTAAATCTGCTTGAAGAACAAAAATATTTCTGAATGAGAGCTTGTCTCAGGTAAAGATTTCTTGGTTATAATATGAAAGCTTTACTGGCACACCAGGAAAGTACATTGGTTTTACTGAAATGAATACTCTCTGATCTGGTCCCTGAAAAAAAAAATGAATTAAGAGATAAACAATGGACTGTCAGGGTCTCTCTCTCTCTCTCTTTCTCTCTCTCTCTTTCTCTCTCATGCACACACACACACACACCCATACGCATGCTCTCTCAGTCTGTTTGTGTCTAGATGTTTCTCACACATACAGAAATTATACCTGCAATGTATTGAGATCTTTAGAAACCCAATGGCAGGAACTACAGAAATGTCTCAGATGTGAAGAGCACTTGTCACTCATCCATCAACTGACTGTGAACATGTTTCATTATATGTACAATTGTGTGTTTAGCAGTACTGTATGTATTACTATCATTAGACATGAGTTTTCATTGGACAGTTGATAGAGATGAAAATGCAAATTGTGTATTGCAACACTATGACTGTGGTGAGATATTATTTATGATTTATAAACCTTGCTTGAGGATTCAGGAACAGTAAGCCAAAAGCCATAGAAGCCAGGCACACAGGAATCAAGATCAAGAAGTAGACGGATCTCTGTTAGTTCAAAGTCACACTGAGCTACACATAGTTGTTCCAGTCCTAAAGGAAAACGGTTCATACAAAGATGATCTCAGTACTTGCGATCACACACCTTTAATCCCAGCATTAGGGAGTTATATAAGACAGGAACAGGGTCTAAGAACTCCCACTCATTCTCTAGCCACATTGAGGATAAGAAGGAATTCAGCCTGAGGAGTCTCTGGTCACTCAGGAGAGCACAGTACTCTGGGATTACAGTCTGAGGTTCAGTGGAGCCAGAATAGCCTTTCAGTCTGAGGTAGAGTAAGAGCTAGTAGCCGGCTGCTTTGCTTTTCTGATCTTCAGCTTGGAGCTTGAACCCCAGTATCAGTCTCTGGGTCTTTTATTTATCAAGTTACAGTGAACTTTCTCCTTACTATTAGGGCTCTTCTAATTGACCCTGAGAACGTTGTGTGTAGATTATTTTAACTGTGTAAAATGTGTTACAATTGCTTATGCTGCCTTTGCTAACAACGCAAAGGTATAATACATTTGTCTTTGTTGCACCTGTGTAATTATGAAAGATTGTTGTGTTACCTTGCCAGCCTAAGGCACCTGACTGCTCTCATGAAAGCTGACAAATGAGCCAATAGCCAGATAGGAGACGGAGAGGTGGGACTGGTGGGCAAAGAGGATGAATCTAAACTCCACAGAGGAAGAAGAATGAAGGGGACGAGGAGAGGGAGAGGCACTCACCCAGGGCCAGAAGCCAGTCAGCCACCAGCCAGACACGGAGATAGGAGAAAAGCACGATATACAGAAAGAACGAAAGACAAAAGGTCCTGAGGCTGTGGGGAACCCCAGAGCCAAGTTAGCATCTTGGCAGCCATCTTTCCTACTACTCTCTTAGATACTAACATACTGGTAATTCTCCATTTCCCTATGACTGTTTTCCTGTTAAGCATAGGATGCAGCCTGACCCTGAAGGAGTCCCAGAGGCAGGCTTATCATTTAGCAACTTATAGCAAACACCTGCATCCTGCTTGGAAGGACATTCTGCCTCCCTCACATCCTCCCTTTGGCCCATTCCCTCATTTCTCCACTACCTAAACCCTGTGGTTTTATTCAACAAATGACTGTCTTGTCTCCATCTCTCGTGTCTCTTGTCCCCTCATTCTCCCTCCCTCCCCCAGGGTCCCCATCGACTGACTCCGCAGGCTGGGGCATGAGGCAAAATGTGGATAAAGACAAACAGGTTAATTTAAGTTAAAATCGATAGCTAGAAACAAGCCTAAACTAGCCTAAGCATTCATGATTAAAAATAAGTCTCAGTGTCATGATCAGGGAGCTGGGTAATAGACCAAAAGGAAAAGCCTGGAGCACTTTCTGTTTCTTGTCCCTTCACTGGCTCTATCCCACGGAAGACTCCATTGCAGGAATTGTTTCTTTTTCTTCTAGGCTTCTGGGGACCGAGAACATCATTGTGGACCAGGGTGTTGTGTGAAGGGGTTTGAACTAGAGAAGTACAAGACAACTGTTCAGATGACCGTGGAGTAAATGTGTCTTCTCTACAAGGTTCCTGAGTCATGGTTCTGATATTTGTATTTTTAGACGAAACGCTCCAGAAAAGATGTTGCAAAACCGTCTCACCTGAAAGTACCGCTAGGCTTCACTGCTGCTACGTGGTTATCCTGCTTCTCACCACAGCTTCTGCTTTTACCGTTGGTTTCTTATGTAGGTGACTCGTCCCCCACATTATGCAGCATTTAGTCCACATCTACACTGTCACTTATATCTACTGACCACTGTGAGCCAGATGCTCCGTGAAGGGATCTAGAGAAAGCACACTGGATATTCCTGTTCTGCGGGAACTTCGAGTCTGGCACAAAGAGGCCCAGAAGGGACAGCACAGGCTGTGGTGAGCACAAGAGGCCAGGCTCAGCATCCTGGAAGGATAACATTGAGAGATGCAGGAGACAAACGTCCATCTGCAGGAATGATTCTATCCAGGCAGAGAACAAGGAGAGGAAATCCAAAGGAAGAGACCCAAGGAGGCTGGGAATGAGGGCAGTGAAGAGCAGTAAGATTGGGAAAGGCACAGATGTTCCACCCCTGCCCCTGAGCCGTCTTCCACCATCATCTAACATTATTAAATAGATAGTTCTAGAAGTATGTCACTCCCAAGATTTTAGTTGTGGACTGTGCTGAATAACGCGATAAAATCTTGTACAGCTTTTCTGGCTGTAGCTGGAGTAAATGTTCCATGATATTAAAAAATCAACTTTCACCACGCCAACGAATATTACACGAGTGTGACGAGGACAAAACGTTTTCCAACAAGTCGTAGTCAGTGTAACCTAAGCCGTTACATAGCTCTGGAAAGAGACAGTCACCGTCGCTACCCATTGCTTTTCCCCCTTTCACTGCAGCCTCGTGGTTCTGGGTAGGGAAACCAGGAATGGGTTCAACAAGTGGGCCTCCATCAAAAAAGGAGAAGGAAGTCATTTCTGGTATTGGGTATTTCTTATCAAATCACTTGTTCCTTGCCGTTCACTAGACCTTCAAAAGAATAGCATATGCACTCTCACCTGTTTAAGGGAACTTCTGCGCAGCTAGAATAGCCATTCTGAAGCCTGAGGAGCCCATTATGGATTGAGACTTGCACTGCCACTTACATTTTTATGCACTGCCAGCCAAAAATAAGAAAAAAATTCACACGTTTAAAATTAGAAACACAGATCTCTTTATAAGCTTTCTCATGATTTTGGGGGGGCTCTTCGCCTGTATCCTGTCCATTCATGTCACCGTATGTCACTCTTCCTTGTTCTCCTGTGTGGGTGTGGCACCATGCCTACAATCGCAGCTGCTCCCACTACACACCATAGGATGGTATATGCATGTGAGGTTGTTCATAGCGTTCCTTTCTTCTGAGATGGTGAATTCACTCAATATTAGTCCTCCCTGAAATCTCACCTTTCCTTATGACTGAACAACATCCTGTTGTGTACACGTCCCATATTTTCATTGTCCATTCACCAGTTGATGGATATCTCTAGACAGGACCATTTCTTTACTGTTGTAAACTGGGCAGCCATAAATGTGGATGTACAAGTTACTCTGTGATAGGATGTGAAAATGTCACCATATATATCAAAAAAATGATATAGCTTGGTCAAATATAAGTCTATTGAGTTGGAACTCATCCCAACAGTGAATTTGTACCTATTTCTACACATGCTTCTAATACCCCAATCAGCTTTCTTGATGAATGCCATTATGACAATCAGTAACAAGAGCCCGTGTATGATTATGTATATTTAATGTATGTGATAGAATTACAGAAAGGCCTCAATCAAAAAAACTTATGTTGACCATACATTGTTTAAATGCTGGCATTTCTCTGTGGCAAGCATCCAGACAAGTGGGGAGTTTTCTTACCTTTATCAAGAAGGAGAATTGTGGGGAAGGAAGCTGAAGAAACTAGAAATCAGCAAGTGAAGTAGGGCAGTCATCGCCATATTTTGGGTTAATGGTGTCTTTAGTCCCAGCACACCAGAGGCACAGCCAGGAGGGTTGCTTCAAGCTCCAGATAAGTGGAGTTCTCATTGTGAGATTTAGAGGAGGCTGGGTGACATAGCAAGACTGCTTCTCAAAACATAAGACTCAAAGAAAGCAAGGAAAAAGCATTTCTTTAGGACCCCACTGGAAGGCCCCACTGGGATCTATCATGGTAGGAAGCGACTCCTGGTGACCAGTTATGAATGTACTGTCCAAGCACACACCTCACTCTGAGATTTGGGTGACTAGCAAGAGGGACCAGGCATGGAAATGTTTCTTTGTTATATGTAATGCCACTGTTTACATTTTAGTGAAACCAATTGCTAAGAGATGTGAACCTTGCTCTGCCACCTGCCCAAGAGACTGGATTGGATTTGGAAGTAACTGTTTTTATTTTTCTGAAGACATGAGGAACTGGACATCCAGCCAGGCCTCCTGTGTGGCACTAGTGGCCCAGCTAGCTCGATTTGACAGCCTGGAGGAGCTGGTAAGAAATGGTCAGGACTTGGTTTGTTCTTTGTCCTGCTGAACATGTACTGTCTTGAGATAGAGATCTTACAATGGAAGCATGAAGGAGGATCCCGACCCAGGCATCAGGGGACTGGTAAACATGTAGCATGTGCCATTTGCTGATGTTATTGCTTCTGGCTGGAACCCTGAGACCTTCCAGAGACATGCTTTTATGAAGTGTTCATAGTCAGGCTTCAAGGCAAGACAATTTACTGAGATGCATGCTGATCATATGCAAGTCTTCATCCACACTGGCAGGTATTACACTCAATGTGGCAACTGTCAATCACTACAGACCAGGCCTAATGAGGGACTTTGCCAGCCACAGAGGGATGGGGTGGTCATCAGGGTACTTTGGATTATGGATACAAAATGCACGCACTGAAAAGAGAGGGTATTGTGACTTCAAGGTCAATGGCCCTCAGTTCACCATGCTGCCATCCTGAGAGGAGCCTGTAGGTTGGAAACACTTAAGGGTCAGCAAAAGCTGAGAGATACATGTATTTATCTTCCGTGTTTTATGACAGAATTTCCTGAAGCGATACCAGGGGCCTTCGGACCACTGGATTGGACTTCACAGAGAGTCAGTAGAACACCCTTGGATGTGGACAGACAATACTGAGTATAACAACTTGTATGTTTTCAGAACATTTTTCCTTCTACTGCGATCATTTGTTGGGAAGTGTGTGAGTGTGTCTATAGGAGAAGAATGGCTGTGTAGTGCGAAGTCAACTGCATTGGAAAGGAAGAAATATAAACCCTTTGAGGGAAGTGTGGTTCAGAGGCAGGGTGTGTGCCTACACGCACAGCCAGTCCTCAGCATGATCCACATCCCCCTCAAACTTAAATCCTTTGGATGTCCCCCCCATTTATTAGCCATCATTTTCAAAGCATTTATTTAATGGGATCTCAATTGAGCATAGTGATGGCATCTGGGATTTCTATTGTCTGCTCTATCACCAATTTAAACCTTTATCCTGGTGGTCAACGCCCTTATGGAGTGTAGACAGAATTGCAGATGGTCAGAGGGGCTCGGAAGCCCCAGTAGGCCACAGCAGACGGGGAAGCCTGAGACTCACCTGTCTTTCTTTCTCAGCTGCGCCTGTCACACAAGCAGAGACTCCAGGGCCATTGGGGACCTCCTCTAAAGTCTGTTTCCAGACTCTTGGATGTGAGCTTAGCAGTTTCATTCCGAGCCGTTACAATGGGATGTTAAATCACATTCTAAGTCACCGCCATCATTAAGGCCATTTCAACAACTTACAGAATAATTGAAGTCAGAGTTTAAAATCACCTGTGGCAGCAGTGCATTTGAACATGGCAACAAGCACTAGTCAAATGGTTTGTACACACATTTCGAAGTTCAACGTGGATCAATGAAAAGCGTGTGGTTTTCAGATTGAACTCTGATAATGTAAAGATGCTAGATGCTTAAACTGGTGCATGTGAGTCCTGGTGGCCTCTGCCTATCCTTGATTCCTTCTGCAAACAAGCAGTGGAGATGAACGATATTTCATTGCAGGAGGGAATGTAATTGGGGATCAAGCCCAACAGTGCAGCTGGCTTGAATTCCAGAGTGTTAGCACCTAAGCCTTGACCTGCCTTTGCGATGCTATCTTTTGATACTGATACATCTTGTTTGAAGGGTTTGAAGCTTGTCTGAGTTTTCCTTGAAGAGCTCAAAGCTTTAGCAAAACTTGGTTATGAGAGTACTTAGAAAACTGAAAGGTCCAGTGACTGAGAATTTCTTTAGCAATTCTTTCAAGGGAACAAGATTTGGTATTTGGTAACTGACTTGCTAAGATGTAGACGATATGACAATGGAAAAGGCCCATTGAAAAGAATGGGCAGTCAGTACACAAAAGACTGATACACCCTGCTGGTTTTCTATTCTAAAATTCATCCTGGAGTGGCCTTATTTTTCCCACGGATCTGCACAAAAGGTAACACTGATAAGGGAAAGCAATGCAGGTCCCCATAGCAATCTTTCCTTTGTTTTGTTTTGTTTTAGGCTTCCCATCCAAGCAAGAGGAGAACGTGCCTTCCTGAGTGACAGAGGGATCAGCAGCAGCAGGCACTATACTTACAGGAAGTGTACTTTAAAGTGCCCAGGGATCAGTACTTTTAAATCCACGGGAGAAAACGTTTCAAAACATCCATGATGAACCTGCAACATACTATGCTACAGTTGCTGCTTCATTCTTGGTCTCCAAAAATCATTATCAAAATTAATTCACAATTCATGGTAACATCTAAGACGAAAACAATCTTTTGAGCACTATTCACGTGTGTGCTTGGGATACAATGAATGGTTCTATACTAATTAGTTGTTAAGGTATGAGTTGGTGCTCATATCTTGAAAGCTAAAACATAATCACATCAATATTAGTGACCTCCACTTTTATGACCAGTAATCAAATTTTCATTAGTTCTTATTTGGAATGAATAGGACAACGAAATGTGGGGTGACTGAAAACTGGAAATAATTCAAAAATCACAAGAAACATGATGCGTGGACTGTACCCTCCAAATATTTTTGGCAACACGGTTCTTATTCTTTTACAAACTCATGACCAATATGCAAGGAGCTCTAGACAAGTTAAAACCTATATTTTATACTCTGTAATGTAATTCATCAAAAATGTTTGTCAAAATGGTTTGGACTTTATTTCTCACATAACATTTTTAAATTACAGTGGACTATGTACATATTGTAAGCTTTGTCATTTCATTTTCTTGATTTAATTTTTTGATAATTCATACCAGTGTGCCATTTAAATTACTTTTTAGATTCATTTAAAGTCAAGAGACAGTTAATTGCTGAAACTTTTTAAGCATTTGATACCTTATGTTACAATAGTTTTCATATTGTTGAACTGGAAGAACAAAATATTTTAGTTTCTGTTGGATCATTAATGACACTTATTGATGAACCTCCAAAGGGACAAAAGAACATGCCTTAGTTATGTCACCTACTTTATTGATAAATAGATTGAACCAGTTATTCTTGCCTGGCAAGCATGTCGTATTAATCTGTAGCACCACACCCCTTTGTAAATTTTTATTTTGTAAAAAGGTCTCTGTGATACACAGATGGCTAGAATTACAGCTATGCATCACCACACAGCCCTTTATTAAAGTATATGCTCAGGGCCAGCAACATGGCTCAGAAGATAAAGACACTTGTCACTACGCCTGACAACCTGAGTTCTGCACCTGGATTCACATAATGAAAGGAGAAAACCAACCCCAGCAAGCTGTCCTTAAGAAATAATAAGATAAACTGTGTCTGTTTTGAGTCTGTGTAGTCATTGTTACATAAATGCAAGCACATGCCATTCAGGAAAATAGTTTGCTCGGTTCTCTTCTCCTACTGCATCTAGCCCCTTTTGCTTTGTTGTCCATTTTACTTCCAGGAAATTAATAGGAATGCCTTCTGTGCAATTCACTTCTGTATTCTCAGAGATCACAACAGTGTGTCAAACACATGAGTTTTCAAATCATCTCTATAAGGAAGGTAGGGTCTCAGGATTGTGACTGTGAGACCTCTCACTGGGTTATATTCAACTGAGTTCCTTATGCAGAAAGGATTTTTTTCTTTGAATATTCACAATAATAAATGACTTTATATAATTATACTGTGTATGTGGTTGTTGGGAGACAGACTTTCCTGGGATGATGCAAGACACACATGTACCCTCTTAAGGGGACACATGACAGACCGAAGCACAGATATCACCAAAATCTAACTTATTGCACCAGTGTCTTTTATTGGGGTTATTTACCCAAATGTGTATGAGGTATTTCTAACCAGAGCAGAAATGACTCAAAGACAGATGCATCACATCACCAAAACCCACCCCAGCATGGTGATACTCACAAGACCTAGAACCCTGGGACACACAGCAAAGCCTAAAGGAAGTCCACTTACTTTTTTTTTTTTTTTTTTTTTTTTTTTCTGGGAAGAGACTCCAAGTGAAATTTCAGGAGAGTTTATTGGGATCTTGTTTACAGTTTCAGAGGATGAGTCCATGACAATAGGCAGGTAGGCATGACACTAGAGTAGTGGCTGAAGAGCTTACAAGACCAGAAAACAACCACAAAGCAAGAGAGTTAACTGGGAGTGGGGTGGGCTTATTAAAGCCCCCAAAACCAGTGACAGACCACCTCCTACGAGACACAACTCCTCCAATAAAATATACATCCTCTAACAAGGAGATACCACTTGATCCTTCTGCAACATTTTCCTCCACTGAGGATCCATGAGGACTATTACCATTCAGACAACCATTGTGTCCTTTGATAGTGGCACAGTTGAACTATCAGCCTTCCAGATAATTCTGTTTGTCTCTGCTTCCTCCAGACAACTTGGCTTGTCTGATTGTGACTCTCAGAAGCCCTCACTGTAAACACTTTTGGGAAGGGAGTTGTCTAGGGAATCTGGTCCGTTTCAGGGATTTTCTGGGCTATTTTGAGTTGTTCACTTCCAAGCTTCCTACCTTCCCTGTAGGATTTACTGATTCAAGGAAACTGCAACATTGCAATATTAATTCAAGAAAAGAAATCTTATTGACAGTCTTGCCTGCCTGATTAATATTCATATAAAAAACAGCTTCTAAATGACATCCAAAGGACATTTAGATTACTCTATTTCTAAGCCATACCTTGATAAATTTTGTAGTCCCAGTCACAGGATTTCTTCATGTGCAAAACGGATCTAATATGGCAGTATTACTGGCAAATTTAACCATGAATATATTTTACCAGTCTCAGTAAAGCTCTGTTTGCCTTCCAGTATTGGCGTGCTGAAGATGAAAATCCTGAGATCTATGGTAACCTCCTGGTGACACTGCTGCCACCTACAGGTGACAGCTGTTCAAGCCATCTTCTCACAGTCAATACAACTCCCCACTGATTGAAGGATATGAAATGTGAGTTTACTGTGTTCCCAGCTAGTGGTAAACAGTATGTATGCTTCTGTCATGCAAGGCAGCATCCGTGAGAGCCACAGCACCTAGACACCTTCAGGGTGCCTCTAGCATTGTTCAGATGGAGTTACTGGATAAATTTTAGGAAATATACAAATCCATACTATAGAAGTTTTATAGGCTGTGTATCTCAGCTCCAGAGGAGCAGAAGCAGGAATATCTCTATGAGATAGAGGCTGGCTAGGACGGCATGACAAGTTCCAGATCAGCTACTGCTACACACAGAGACTCTGTCTACAAAAGAGAAATCACATCAACAAAATACACCCAGGTTCATAATAGTGCAAAATTTCACTGAGGGACTGGAGAGAAAGTTCAGCAGCTAACAACACTAGCTGCTCTTGCAGAGGGCCCACATATGGCTCTCAACACCCGATGATATTCCCTACTATCCCTAAATCAAATTCCAGGTGATTCAGTGCCATCTTCAGACCTCTGCAGGCACTAGATATGCAAATGGTGTACATACGTGCATGCACTTAAACATTCATACAGGTGATAAACGAAGAAATGCATCTCAATAATGTATGAATAGGCTTAGAACAATAATAACATAAACCTTTATTGCAGTCTGAAGGCCAGAGGTTCAGAAGAGACCTTACTGAACTAAAATTTACTGTTTCTTTGACGCCTTTTCTTTTCTGTTGTGGAACCCCATGATCAGATTAGACCATCTACTTGATTCAGAAGAATCTCTCCATCTCATGGTGTTTAATCATATCTGCAAAGTCAGATTACTATTTAATTTAACTCATATGCAAAATCGTGGGATTAAGACAAGGATAAATTTGGGAACATTGCTCTTCTAACTACATGTGTATATGGTTTACAGGCATGTGAGATCAACAGAGCTGCTCTGAGGCCAAATAATGAAAAAAGCTAAAGGAAATGGATTATTACATGACTTTTACAGATGGGGTCTTTACAGCCTGGTCTCCCATTAGGCACTGCCATCTCTATTAATACATATATTCTAGTCTTGGAAAGGTTTGTTTTTTCTATACTTGTGTCAAAAACGCACATCCTGCTCAAAGACAATATTGGAAAGTGTTGCCTCAAATGATGAAAAATGTCCCTACTATGTCTCAATATCATGTTCCAGGCTTTAGGTTCTCTGCTAAATAAACTCTCTATTGTATTTGCTCAGTATATGCATGATTTTTGGCTTGCTTGGTGTGATTCTAGTAAATTAGAGGAAGTTTCTCAACTGCCTCTGACAAGGATAAATAATATCTGCTTTTAAACAATTTTGTCACTGGGTAGTAGTGTGGCAAGCCTTTAATCCCAGCACTCGGGAGGCAGAGGCAGGGGCAGGCAAATCTCTGTGAGTGTGAGCCTGGTCCACAGAGAAAGTTCCAGGACAGGTTTCAAAGCTACAGAGAAACCCTGTCTCGAAAAATCAAATAATAATAATAATTTTGTCTCCAAGGGAATTTACTGGGATCCTTATAATCCCCAAAGTCAATCTCTAGTGGAGAGAACACAAAACAACTCGAGTAACAAATTGATAAACAGAGTGTCTGAAGAAGCCTCACCCTCACCATCTCATAAATTTAATATGGCATGATTTACTTCAAGGTTTTTGAAAACAGATGACAGTAGAAATACTACAGCTCACTATCATTGGGTATCTTTGTCAGGGCCTCTGTGGTTGCCTCTGGGGACATGAAAAGATGTAATAACAGTTAAATGGTAATCACCAGCACCGTTACTTATCAGTGGGAGAGGTTTCACTTGTGTCTCTCCAGAAAATTCAGCACATCTGAATTTCTCAGCTCACCAGACCCAGATGGCTGATATGGGCAATGAAGCAGAAGAAACCGAGCAGCTTCCAGCGCAGGCAGCAAGCTTGTAGCCTGCTTGTGTGTTTGCATACTGCACTAAGTCAAATAATGCCAATCCTGAGATGTATTGGGCATTGGTACCTAACCCTCCCTTTTTATCAGGGGTGAAGGTCAGATGACCTGGCCATCAATGTTTGCTAATACCTTCAACATATTTCTTGATATGAGTGATGGGAGATGTCATTCTGTAAATATGTTTCTCTTATTGGGTAATGACTAAAGCCCTGTTGGCCAATAGGAAAACAAGATAGGTGGGACTAAAAGACAAGGAGGATTCTGGGAGACATAATGGAGGGGAGTCAAGATGTAGGGACTTAAGAGAAGAAGGTC